ACTAAGCTCTGCCACTGGGACTGGATTGAAACAAGAAAAGAGACACCTCTGTCTTTCATCATTTTGGCTATGAAGGAGTTGCCATCTCCCATCTGGTGTGGCTATGACTATTGTTATTATGGGTTGCTAGCATATTTTTTTCGATCAGAGGGGCCACATGCCCCCCATTTTCATTACGAAAATGGAGTCACAGCATACAGATCAAGTCCCATACAAACTTATCTTCGATGCCTAACATATGCAACAGGAAAAACTACTCCTATATCTTGAGGCACTTCAAACTGCACCTACAGGATGCTACAACAAAACAACAAGCCCAAAGCTCAGCCACTACATATGAATGCCTAACATTTCTTTGCATCAGGGAAAATAAACTCCTATAACCTGAGATACTAAACTCCGCACCTACAGGTTGCTGGCATATATACTCCTATATCTTGAGGCACTTCAAACTGCACCTACAGGATGCTACAACAAAAGAACGAGCCCAAAGCTCAGCCACTACATATGAGTGCCTAACCTTTTTTTGCATCAGGGAAAATAAATACCTACAACCTGAGATACTAAACTCCGCACCTACAGGTTGCTGGCATATATGGATGCAAAGGAACAACAAGTATTTAATAAGATCAACCCTAGCATCGCATCTTGGACACTTCTACTCAAGAAAGATCTGGAACTGTTGAAACACAAAACTAAGCAACATCTCCTTCAAGATTATCAGGACTGGACTGAATCAAGCTTTTAGTCTGTTAAAATCTTGATTTAGACATGTTTCCTAGAGCAGGAATTGGCTAGATGGGATCACCCATCCTTTTTGTTTTTTGCTCCCATTTGTATATATACGTTTAGTTATACTCCCTCCGTTCCTAAATATAAGTCTTTGTAGAGATTTCAATAAGAACTACATACGGATGTATATAGACATATTTTAGAGTGTAGATCCACTCATTTTGCTCCGTATGTAGTTCGCACTGAATCTCTACAAAGACTTATATTTAGGAACGGAGGGAGTATTAATGAAAGAGGAGAGCAGATAATATTGTTGTGCACACATATGAAAGATTTGAACAACATACTGATCGTGCCGCGCTGCACAAGCGGCTCGTAGGCGAAGCTCAAAACTTGGGTCAACTCCTGTAGACTCGGGTGCTGGAAGACGAGGTTCCAGTCAGTGAAGTTCTTGAACCTGTTGAAATTGTTGATCGACAGCTTCACCCGCCAGTACTCGGTGTATCTCTTCTTGACGTGCCAGTGCACCCTTATCGGGCACATGTGCCCGGTGCACCGGATCTCGGCATCCTGGCACTGCGGCGCCGTGGAGGTCCTAGCTGGGCAGGCACCGCAGGTGCAGTCGGGGCACTCCACAATTGTCCTGCTGTAGAACGTGGACAAACAGACACAGCACGACCGGAACGGGCCCACTGCTGTCTGCGAGTAGGAGCAGGTGACCTGCCACGTCACTGCACACATTGAAAAAAAGAATAGTCATCGGATTAGAATTAGTCATGTTGAGGCGGAGCGAAGATTTCTCAAATACTAGGGCTAAAACTAAGCGGCTATAAATAACGTCTAAAATCACACATAATTGTGTGCATTAGAAGCACATCAAAAAATCACAATATAATGAAAGATGAAGTTCATTCTTATCAGAAGAGAAAAATCGGTGAAAACATGTGAACAATTTAACGAAGTGCGTCATTAAAAAAGTTGACACCAAATTAATGAAGACATGATTCATTATCCGAGCCCATCGTTTCTTCATTAGCAATCACAAAAGGATCTAGATATGGACATAAGTTCTTCTTTGTGAATGGACATAGGTTAAGTTAAGCGTTCATACAAATTTTGAGGACTTATACATATTTAACCAAAGAAAATTGACTAAAGAAGTACAATTGACACCATCAACTCATTAATTTTTGACTGACACAGAAAACTAGGGAACTAAATTTTAGACAATACAAACTAGAATCAGTGGCGGAACTACAAAAAAATTTGTTGGGCGGGCCAGAGCACACAATTTTTTTCAAGTACTGAACCATATATAGTGTTCCATTAGATATATTGGCCACTACTCAGTACCTTCTATTCTCACTGATTACAAGATGAGCAGATGCATAATTGCATATGTATACTACTCCAAACCAAAATAAGCCATGGCATTTGATCATCTATATACTACTCCAAACCAAAATGACAGTAAACAACAATGCCTTTGCTGTGAACTTGTAAGCTTCAAATCAACAATTTTAGACAGTACAAATAGACCTTCAATGGATTATTTAGACAATTTGGATTTAGGGGATGATTCAATGAACAATGACCTATGTGGAATTTAGGGAAAGAAAATCAGAAACGATTCAACTCAGCTTACTTGCGCACACTTGCAGGGATTCCGAATTTGAGATGGATTAGAGAAGGAGTTGCCTCCCCGCCGTCCACTACTGTCGCCGTTGCCGGTTTTGCTCTCGGCTCATCGGCTGACTGGCTAACTCGCTGGTGAGCACTCCATTATGGTTTGCAAATAAGAGTTGTCGGCAACAAAGCATTTGCAGCAGTAGTAAGCTTGGTCACATACACCCAATTCTCTGTAAATCTTGAATACCCAAGCATGTATCTAGGCTAACAGGTGAGTTACTGCAAACCCCAAATGCACAACACAACTACATTATGGGAGTCAGAGGCACAAGCTTGTGAGAATTTGTAGCTCACCAGTTCAAGAAAAGAGCACTGAACCATGATTTTCAGAGATTTGTCATCAGAGAACTCAACATGCTTTTCAGAAAATTTGCACCAAACCACAGCTGCTTAACACTTACATAAGAACCACACTGAGATGTTGTCGAGGACAGAAAAATCATAGCAGAGTGACCAAGCGATTTTCCCTTGAACTTGTTCTGAAACAGAGAATGAAACAGCTCCACAAGTGCAAGATAGAAGTTCATGCTGTAAAAATGCATCATTTAGCGACCAAGCAATCCTCCATTGCTGCAACTCAAAACCACAGGAATTAGAGTATGCCTTGAAGGAGCTAATATTGGCTTGTAAGGGACCAATCAACCATGCAATCTCCCATTGAATCTGTGCAAACATATAACCATATATAATAAGGCTTTTCCAGTAGGGCAAAACTGGAAACCACCCTTCCACGGTAGTTGTAACCATGGAATCTGACACTGCATAAGTTTTGTATCCACCATGCAACCAATGTAACATAGCATTCAGCATAACTGGTCTCCTTTTCTTGGACATAAGTGGCTGCAACACTGTAATTCATAAATGTGTACTTGCTTACTGGAGCATACCTAGCAGCAGCAAAACAGGATAGGGATTGAACAGAGATTCCCAATCTGAACACCAGCACAACCGTTACATTGCAAAACTTATCAGCAATCGTTCTTGAACAATCAGGGAAGGCACATGGCAACCAAGCAATGATCCATGGAAATTGCTTGATCTGTCAAGGGCAATGGCTACAGGAAATGAACCACTTCCACTACTACAGTACAACACCACTGCATAAAAAATGACAAGTTGAAAAGTTCTTCTAGAGAGAAACATTCCCAAGGAAACCATGGCTTCAGCCCGACTAATGTCGCCTTCCTAGAGCCTTGTTCAAGACTGGGAAACTCTCCACTGACACAAAGACTGTTGAGCACGACAATTGCCAATAACAAACAAAGCGTCTTCATCCATTGATGCACGAACATGGATCATATTACTGCTGTCTCTCTTGACAAACAGGAAACATCCCCTCATATCATGTTCCAGTAATTTACTCTTGCTTTTCTGACCATACAATGGATCAGGTGGCAGCCGCATATACTTCCATCCCAAGGCAGTAACGGCAAGCATATTAATGTAGTATCAAATATGGGCAATTCACAAGGAAGGAGATAGTGAACCTGGGATGAAGAAAACTCACAAACTGTGATGGCATGTTGAACGAAGGAGTTGTCCACCTTTTGAACAAACTTTCCACTATCCTCATAGATGTCCCGCCGCTCAGTCATTTCTGTATCAATGGTGTCCAATGCAACAGGAGGAAGTAAGAGCAGGAGCGAGTAGGTACCGATAGTCAAACACTTGGTAAGCATGGGTGTGTGAAATCCTCGATCCTCAAACCACTGCAGTGATTGGGAGATTGAGCTTTCTGATGCTGCTGGAGTGGTCAGGAACATGCCCTCAGTTTCCATGAACACCTTCCATGGTGTACTTGTCGTCAGTGTCAATGGCGTCCTCATGCACCGAGTTGGAGGAGCAGGTTGATGGCGACAACCCAGCTTGCGCTGTGAGCTCCTGAGTGAACGCTGGAGTTGTTGGTGGCAGCAGTCTTGTTGCAGTGCCTTGATTAGTTGAGGACGCAGGGGATGCCGTGCCCAAATTGTTGCTCGAACAATTGGTCGAACAGGTAGCGGGCAGCTTCGTGACTTGCTCCAGGGCGTGTGGCAATTGGGTGGTCGTCCCCATCGTAGGTGATGGAGCAGTAGGGAACACGTCGTCCAGAGCCACGGACACCTCTAGAGTGAGGTCGGCCTTGGTTGATGTGGAGTCCAACGGCGCAGCAGTGCCAGTGGGGACGCATGTGTCCGTCGCCGCACGCACGGAGGCCACGGCCCAACTGGCGCTGGTCGCTGATGGGGGAAGACCTCGCTGAAGCCGTCGCGGTGGGATCGAGCGAGTCGTCCAGCGCGCAGGTCTGGGTCGGGTCGGCTTTGACGGCGCTGCAAGAGATGCTCACAGATGCATGCGTAGCAGGGACCGAGCTTGAGGCAGAGTCCCATGGCACCTGTACGGGGACGCGCGGAGGTGCCGCGGTGGTCGAACGGATGGTGGAGACGGTTCCGCGCGGGACAGGCGGAAACGCCGCCGACCTCGTCGCTGATGAAGCCGACGCCGCTGCTGCGGGGGCACGCCTGGGTGTCGCCGGGAGCACAGAGGCCGCGTCCCAATTGGTGGTGGAGGTGGTGCGACGCAGAGACGCTGTACACCTCGTGTCCTCGTCGCCGATGAAAGAGAGGCCGCCGCTGCAGGGGCGCACCTGGGGCCGTCATTGCTACCCACCTTCCGGCGGAGGTCGCCGATAGTTCCGTCTGAAAAAGGCCCCAGGTGCCTGCTGAAAACAATTCAGCAAGTGAGTGGTTTCCATTATCATACGTATGTTATATGAGCTGGTTGTACTGTACTACCTCCGTCCGAATTTATTGATCCTCATTATATTTTGTGTCAAATTTTGACCATAAATTAAACTAACAAAATGTTACGCATGTCATCAAACATTATATTTTTTTAAACTATGTTGAAATACGAATCCAATGAAATAATTTTTTTGACATGCATTAACATTTTGATAGTTAATCTTTAGTCAAAATTTGACACAAACTACAAAAAAGACCTATAAACCAAGACGGAGGTAGTACTTCATTTGTTTCGAATTACTTGTCGCACATATGAATGTATCTAGATGTATTTTAGTTCTAGATACATCTATTTCAGCGACGAGTAATTTGAAACGGAAGGAGCATATATTAACAGTATGTAAGAAAAGAGGTAGCATACAAATTGGTTAGTGCAGTTCTTAGTCAGACTCAGAGAAGATCAGCTGGTGCAATAACATCTACTCCCTCCGTTCGAAAATACTTGTCATCAAAATTGATGAAAAAAGATGTATCTATAATTAAAATATGTCTAGATACACCCCCTTTTATCCATTTTGATGACAAGTATCTTCGGACGGAGGGAGTATCTCTATTTTGATGTACTATTCAAAATGTATTCTTGCTATATATAATATGTTCTTATCTCCCGGTTTTCGTAAAAGTCTCTTGGTCCTGCTTCCCAACGTTTGGTATATATGGTGTGCTTTTCTACTCCTTGGGTACAGAAATGCACACAAGGTTTTCAGTACTAAATCGAGGCAATAGAACCCACGATTAAGGCTTTCATACACTCCTCACTTTTACGAATCAAACCTTTCTTTTTGGAAACATTTACAGTTAGGTTTAGTATATGGATCTTACCTCACCTTATGGAATGTTTTTCGGTGGAACATGAACTACAGCTTCAGTTATTTGGCTCATCTTTAGTGAAATCTGTACTGTTTCATGTGCATTTGTGTAGGTTATATATTCCACTGAACTTCAGATTTATAATGTGGATTTGCAATGGATTTCAATTTGTTTAGTTGATCTTGTCGCTACCAGTGTTGGAAGAAATCAATAGGCTTCATTCACAATAAAGCTTATTTTGCAGTTCCACAAGGAATGCATTGTCTTTACCGTGTTGGACCCTGGTAGGAACCGGATCCCTACCAGGGTGTGGTCTCAGGTTGTAGGGGTGGAAGGAGGGATGGCGTGGATGAAGGTGTGGTCGCCGGCGCTCGGGCACCGTCGTTGCG